GTGATTTCATCTGGGAAAACAAAACTCAAAGTCAGAAGTAATCTCCAGCACAACTACCACTTTCTAACAAATAAATGTACTTGCATATTTAAAAAACGCTTTTACCTTCGTCTATGTCCGGAGGGAGGCCTCCAACAAACACTTTGCGGGAGTAACGCTCCACACGTTCACCATTGAGGTGTGGGAAGCAGTGAGCAGAGCCGAGGCCAGCGAGCCCCTGGTCACCGGACTCATCCTCTCCAAAGGACCGCTCGTCCTCCATGGGGAACAGAGATGAGTGGCCTGACAGAGAAAAACACTTAGGTGAAAATGCTGGCTTGACACAACTGATGTTAAACAGAAATCAAAACCATTTCAACAACAAGAAAGAGAAATAAAGGGCAAGGCTTGGATTGAATGAAAAATAATGAAATATTAAGGAACCAGCAGAAGAAAGCGGAGAAAACGTGTTTTAACGTGTTTTTGTTATTTCAGATTATTCATCTTTTTGATAGGATAAAAGTGAATGTTAGAACTGATCATTTAGTTCTTGTGAAACTGGTTGAATTCTTGGTAAGGTAGGAAATCTGTAAAGCCAATGGAAAGGCTCCCTGACATTATTTTGAGGAAAGGATGATGAAAATTAAGATCTGGTAGACAAACAAGAGGCCAACAACAAAAAACAGGGGGCAACAATTGATCAGGGAGAACAAGACACATTCATTAGCTTTACCTCGTCTTCTGCCATAACTTCTTGCTGCATGTAAAACACAAAACACTCTTGAAATAAGTTTTAAGGCACTAAAAAAAAAAAAGTTTGTTGAAAAATAAAAAAAAAATGCAACCAGGGCTTGAAATGTTATTGATCACCAGCTAAAATTTCTTTTAAAGCAACATTCAATCGGAATTTACAGAATATTTTGCATATTTTTGCTAAATAAGCTTAATTTACAGTAATTCCAGCTTTCTTTTAAACTTGAAGGAACAATCAGCATATTTTTAAATCATGTAATAAGACTGGACTGCTTGTTCAACTCTCCCAGAAAACCTGATAAGGTTATTGATTAAATTACAACACACTGTATTTTTTGTAGTTGTTCTCTTCCTTAATCTAGGATAGGCTCAGGTTATAATTGTCTATGTCGTATCCAGAACGGGTTTTCTTTGTTTTGTTTTTTTTAAGTTTACAAACTAAAATGACATTACTATGATGCAGAAAACACGAGAATTAAAAGAAATAAGATTTTTGCTTGCACCAATTTCAAGCCCCAGCTTGGCTTTAGCACTACATATTATGTTGCATACCATTCAAAGGTAGAGGTACATCTCCACCCTGGTGTGGGAAAGTGTAGCGTCCTAAAAGGCAACCAGAAAAAAAGTGAATAAATATCTGAGACCTCAGAAAATATTGCCGCAAGGATCTGAATGTTTTGGAAAAAGCTACCCAAAACAGTGATTACAGACAATATTTTCAAATCGGTACTGTGCTGCAAAGGTAAAAAGTCTGAACTGTTTTAAAAGAGTAAGAAATACTACAACATTGTATGCTTATTATGGCAATAAAAATTGTGATTCAAATTTACACAATAAAGAACTCCCAAAATGTTCGTATCAAAGTTTAGTTAAATGTTGAGGGGGAAAAATCAAGTTGCTTGAAAATACAAAAAACAAAACAAAAAAGCCCAAAGAATTTCAGAAAAAAGTAAATGCTGACCAAAATCCTCTCAAGCATTACTTGTAAAATACAGTGTAACCTGCAAATGCAGATTACACTGCATGTATATCCACTGCAATATAAAAACTGCCTAGATGCAATATTTGGTAAGATATTAAATATTAAGTACCATGCAGTCAATAATATCTTCAGTCTGTTTGGTCATGGTCCTTGATATCCACAGATGTGATGTTATTTTACATCATATCTTTCAACCACAATCGATATTGTCCCGACAACATTCAGCAATGATAAAAATATATTTCACCCAACCAATAATGTGCTGTAAAAAAGGCTGAACTGAAAATCGTTTTAATGTTTTGCTACTAATTTAAATCTGATCTTACCGCAAGGATTAGTTGTAAATATCAATACTCTTAATAGTTCACAAAAACAGGAGAAGAATTTGATTGTCATGAATCAGGAACAAGTTCCAGTCGGGTTATGTCGTATTCACAGAATGTACTAAGCAACTCGGATAATCACTAATAGTGAGAGACTAAAGCATTATTTCTTTTTTGGCATTTTGGACATTAAAATGCTGTAGCAGTGTTTTCAAGGTTGCACTGTACTGTGTGTAAAAGATTTATTGATATAAAGAGCTGGAAGTGCAATAAATGTTTTTTTATTGCAGCTATCACTAAGTTTTATGTGAGAGAGCCACATTGGATTCATTCCCTTCCCACTTGGAATGACAGTGTCATGCAACACTTTTAGTTTTTATTTTAAAAAATAAAAACTACCGTTTTATAATCCTTGTAGCCATTATTGCTGCTTGACATCAGAAAAACAAGTTAGACATGCTGATATCTGTGAATTTCACAATAATGACATGACTTGGAATAAATAGTTTTCAAGTCTGTTTTGGGTGTTGTTACAAATTTATAATGAATATTTATAATAAATTAATTGCATGGCAATAATATTCAATATTTTCAAAGTATATTTTGTGTTAAAGAAATGTTCTCTGACTATTCAATTACTGTATGATTCGTATTGTTACAATCTAGATTTAGTTTAGGTTAAATCTAGATTGGGAGATTTAACCTAAACTAAAAAAGAACTTGCATCTAGCTGCATTTAGCAAAAGCAAATGAAAATATTAAATCCAATCAATTATTTTCAAGCCAATCGTCAACCGCCGTCTACAGCCAGCTGCAAGGAAAACAATTGCTGATGTGGGAACCAACCTTTTAAGGAATCCTGTTCAGCCCTCATAATGTCAATCAGGGAGTTCTCCAGAGAGTGCATGTTGAAACCATCAAAAGACCGTGTCCTATCCTGCTGGAAGAGAAAACCACAACATTTAGACTTGCTGCTTCCCACTTCAAGTACAGCAGCTTACAAAAGCTGGCATGGCAAAATACAAAAACCCATCAGTGACAATTCCTGTGACAGTACAATAACAAGGAGGGAAAAAAAGGAATCCATCCACTGTTTCTTGTAATACCACATTGAAAGATATCCCACTCGAAAAGGTTAATAAAAACCCTAAAACTCATCTAGTATGTAACACAAACCATGCAAGACTTGCACCACTAAGTGTATGACAGCTGAGGGCACTCAAAGCAGCACAGGAGCACAAGACTTCTTAAATCAGGACAAGAGGAAGCACATGTGATCAGACCAGATGATAAGACTGCTCTCATTTAACCAAATGATCTAGATAAGGCCTAAGAACATAAGCACACACTCAACAAGTTTCTATTCATTCAATTAAATGGCTTGGCTGTCACGTATCCTGTTTTGCTAAAAAGGCCCGTTTGTTGCATTCGACACAGACTAGCATGCTAAACAGGGTTAACATTTGTTCCTGAAAACCACATAAGACAGTTTACATAAGAATTACTGACTCCCAATTTCTTTAAAACCCTTTCTTAACACACTTGATATACAGTAACCTATCTCTCTGCCAACCTGGAAAGAATAGACGCTGTCATTACGGTTCATGCTGTCCTCAACCCAGCCCTTGTGGTTGATACCAGAGGTATTTCTGGGGAACTTCTGCGAGGGAATCTGCAAAATAGATTACCAGATGTGTTATTTTTCTTAATGGCGGTAAATATCTGAGAAGGTTCACAAATTTGATCTCAGTAATCATCTACCTGGTTGTTGGGGAAGGATTTCTTCAAAGGGGAGTAGGAGTTTAGGCTCGTCACCCCTCCCCCGACACCCCGACGGTACTCTCGAACCCCTTGTGTGCCTCCCCAGCCACTGTAGCCACCTGGACTCCAGGAGGTGGACGTTGGAGTGGACAGACTCTGGTAACTTCCCCAAGGAGACGGGGGTTTGTTTTGAGCAGGAGCAAGATGGGGCAGCTGGGGGAATGGTCCAGCACGATGGGGGTGCGGTGGGAAGGAAGGCTGGGGTTGATGAGGACTAGCTGGGGAGCGGCGGTGCTGTGGAACCCCTTGACCATGAGGATGGGGTGTGGGAGGGTGGTGCTGGGTGACTGGTCCAATCTGTGGTGAGAAACTCCCTCCTACACCGAAGCTAGGCCCAGCATGGTGAGAGAAGTTCTGGAAAAGTAGAGGAGGACCATTTGTGTTGGAGCCAGCAGGACCGAAGAACGCGCCAACATCTTCCCCGACAACAGGAGACTGGTTCGATGGAACAGCAGGGGACCAGTTGTTAAAGCTGGTCAGCGAAGATGGGGAAGAGGTGGACTGTGCACAGCTTGTAGCCATTCCAAGGTTGTCCTGGTAGTCGAAGCTGCTCAACACCGGAGACTCGATTCTTAACTTCTCTTTTCCAACGCTGCTTTCCAGGGAACCCTTCTCCAAGGAGCCATCTTCAGGATGGGCCCCTTCAAGCCCCGTTAGGCCTCCTCCGACCTCCTGCTGGCCAGTAGATAGATTCTGAGGCTGGGTCTGAACTTGGGACTTCTCCTGCATGTCTTGGAGGTCCAGGGCTTTTGACTTGTCTGACTCCAGGATCTCATCTTGCATGTTACCGTGCTGGGCTACGGTGGGGAAGAGCCAAGCACTGCCTCCATTGGTAGAGCAGGCGTTGTTTACAAAGGAAGGAGGGCTGGGGGGGTTGGAGGAGTGCTGAAGGTGCTGTGGCTGGAGGTGAGGAGGGATCCTAACAGGGAAAGCAGATTTGTTACCACTGCCGTTCTTCACCAGAACTCCAAAGCCGTAGTCCCCCATTTAGGACGCCCTGTAGGTTTTCAGCTTTCACAGTCTTCTTTATCCTAAAACGTGGGTAGAGAACAGGCAGACAGAGGCCAGATTACATGATCACGTTCATTCGATCACTGTTAAAGATAATAATACAAAAAAATAAATAAATAACCACACCAGACGCAGAGAATGTGTCTTTGCTGCAGCCTGCCTGGTCTTGTGATGCAATCAATGAGATTAAATCATTGACTGGCCAGGCCATGGGAGGCCTGGATGAAATATAACACTATGGCAGGCAGGCTCGGAAAACACCCAGCCTCACCAACTCAGGCTGCTGGACGCCTGCTGTGCTCAGGCTGACGTCTCCAAAGGTCGTCAGGCAGCTAGCAGCAAAGCTAACAGCTGCTCATGCGCCCTTTTAATCACGCAGAGTCCATTTTAAACCCCACTCAGGCGAACAGCACGTACACCCACCGTCTAACGTCCCTTCTACCGCAATGACCTCTTCAAAAACACCCGTTTAAATACAGGGGAAAGTGTTGCTGACGTCTCCAGGGTAGTTCCCTTCACCAAGCCGCTAAGCTAGGATAATGGTCGATAACCCAGCAGACGTTGTCGCGCATTTGCAAACCACCCAGAAGGCAATAAACGACCTCAACCGCTTTAACGTCTTTCGAAATTTCGCCAGCGTTCACGACAGCCTTATCAGCGGCAAGTTTGGAAACGGTGCGTGGCTCTTTAAACGACCTCGTCTGTTTCGTGTCCTGTACGTTCAATGTCACACACACTTACCAATCCTTGTCATCATTTTTTTACATATCAAAGTAACGCAGCGAGGCCTTTAACCGCAGCTCCACCGAACCAACAACCTGAATTTGCATTATTTCAGATATAGCTACCTTCAGTTCGCCGTCATGACCTTATCGTTAAGATGTTGCCATATTTTAGCGTTTTCCCTTTTTCTGGGTTTCCTAAGCAGCCGGTGTAAATGGGTCTTCTCTCTCTCTCTCTTCTAGATGACAGCTGGGCCAGTGGGGAGACACTTCCGTCTCCATTCCCCGCCTCCAGCAGCCTTCGCCAGCCACTCAGTGAAAGGATTTCCTCCACATCGCCCCGCCCATATTATCTGTAATCTGCTGTCTGATTGGATAATTGCTGTAAGCACACGCCCACATCACATATTGTCAATGAATGGCAGTTCCATCTTTTCCCAAATAAGGAGGGCTTGAAATCAATAGCAGTTGTAGGAAAAGTAGATTAATGAAGGTTAAAAATACCATATATGTGTATGTGTGTTTCGGTTTTCAACACAGCTTTTTAAACTTTTTATAACATTCATAACTTTGTGGTCATTCAATATAAAATAGTAATTTCTCCAAAAAATACAGCTCTCTGCCTTCAGTGCTTTGAAAAGGTATACAAAAGTATTCACACATATTTAACCTTTTATTTATCAGACTAAATGGAGATCATCAGTCAACAGCGAATTTTAGGTGTCCATTCTAACATGAATTTGTCTTAATCTAAACAATTCTATTGTTGCTCTAGTTAGTCGTTAAGACCTGCCAGAAGGTGAATCATCTAAAGTCTTTTTCACCGTCAAACAGGTTTTCGTCCAAGATTAGCTTGTATTTAACTCCATCTTCCTATCAACTCTCACCAGTTTTCCTGTCCCCGGTGAAGAGAAGCAACTCAGTATAATGTTTAAACATGAAAATGATGTGCCATGTTTTTTTTTTTGTTTTTTTTGCCACAAAAAGTTTTCTACCAATTTTGACCAAAGTTACCCAGGCAGCACTTGGGTAACGTTTACTTAAAGCTTAAAGAAAAGAAGGAAATGAGTTATAAATTTCAATATCCTCGCAGTCAATACCATGGTGTAGTATTTGCAAATGCAAATGCAGATGATTTGGGTAAACAAATGGTTTGTCCTCCACTTCGATCTGGATTGTTTCTCCATGTCACAACCTAAGATTGATAGATATTTATTATAGACAAATCTATACACATACATTAAATTGATACCTGCTTTTAAAAAAAAGCACTCAAGAAACACAGAGAGTGAGAAACTGCTTGGTTTCACCTCTGTAGACTTTGTGGCATTGTGAGTCCCCCTGGGCAGACCCACCCTTCATTTGTATCCTGGAGTAGCAGTGGCAGGCACCAGCCCATCCCACTCTCTGCAGGGCCTGTTGGGTTGGTTTAACAACACAACGATGTGTCTTCAGCGTCTGGTTTCCCTTAGAATTACCAAACAGCCAGTCCAGGTGTTGCAGGTTTAATAGTGTGACCTTCCAAGTGAGAAAGAGAAAGCATTGGCATAGGGGTTTGAAGGTGTGTGCATCTGCATGCCACAAGCATTTTGAGCTGTGTCAGCATAATTTGTCTGTAAAAGCAACAACCTTTATTCCCCAGGGAAGGCAGGGCGACTCTTTATGCAGCAAAATACATAAAGGGCATCCAGTATTATATAAATATGTTTTGAAGGCCCAACAGCAGACAAAAGTGCAGAGCATGCATTCACCCCCAAATGGATCCTAAATGATTCATCTGTGTAACTTAGGCACCCAGTCATTAATTCATTAGGTAGCCATGGAGGACAGGACAGACGTCCACAGAGTGCCTGGGGCCAGCTGTCTCAGGTTTCTGTGCTCTGACACACAGTCTGTGGTCCAGCCTCCTTTCTGTTTAATTTCACCATATCGTTGAAAAAAAAAAAAAGCTGTGTCACTGTCTTCCAAGTGTGAGCTGGGAGTCAGTGACTTCGCTTAGAGTCAGCCGCCTTTTGTTTTGCCCACGAGGTCATCCATCTCAGACTCAAGTGTTGTTGTAAGTAGCAGAGAGTGACGCAGCATAATTTTCCCTCATACACGCTCTGTGGTCTAGACAGTGTGCGCTGCACCACACTGTGGCCTTGGTGTTTTTCTTTTTCCTTTTGTTTGCTTTCTCACTAAAATACACATACAGAAAGTACTCCAGCTTTCAAATTTTTCATATCCGCTTTTCCCCCTTTGGCCATGTTACTACCTCAGCAGTCAGGGTATCTCACTGGGATTTTATCCAATAGACTGAAAGGTCAGTCAAAATTGGACGGACAGCATCTGTAAACAATGCTATTTAAGACCTGCCACAAATTTTTGATTGGATTTTGGATTTTACTTTGACTCAGTCTTTTGCAGCCTCTGACAGGTTCACCTCCATAACAGAACTTAACTTATCCATCTTTCCATCAGCTCTGATCGGCTGTGTTCAGGGTGATGTGCAGTGGTAGGCGTCCTTCACTTTTTTGCCATGAAGATCCAAGGTCAATCGTCTCATCTGACCTTCTTTCATGTGTTTGCTGTGTCCCTTACATGCCTTGTAGTAAACCACCAGCAGGACTTTTATTATGGATACCCTTTGAAGAAAATAACATATTTTGTGTATAGTGCACAACTTTCGGCATCAACACTTGAGGTGTGAATCTCGACAGCACCTCCAGAGTTACCCTGGGCCTCATGATAGCCATGTTTAAGTAGGTTTATAGTTGTGCCCTTCTCTTTTGTATTTTATTGAACAGTTCTTTATTAAATGTTTTGTGCTTAAGCCCAACCCTGCTTTAAACAACTTAACTGTTTTATCCTTGGCCCATCTGGTACGTTACTAATTTTTCCTCTAATATTCTCAGGCAAAACCTCTGAGGCCTTTACTGAACACTTTTGTTTATACTGACAGATCATGCACTGATTTACCAATTAGGGGACTTCTGGTTTCACTGAAGTTCATTTAGGGGTGTCAGAGTAAAAGGCTGAGTTAAATTCATCTAGTTTTGATCTGAAAGCCATACATTTTCTTTCACTTAATTATACACAACTTTCTGTTTGCGCATGAAAAGCTATTATTAAGGTTTGTGGTTGTATGGTGACAAAGTTCAATGGAATCACATATTAGTGGAAGGCATTGTATTTCCTACCATAATATCCCAGCGCTTTAAAACTTGCTTCTTTCGAATTTGTCCTGCTGGTCATCTGTAAACCCATAAAATAAATGTGCCAACATTAAAGTGAAATTTCAAGCAAAATCTGCACCAAGAGCTATTTGACCTTTATTCGGGGCTCTTAAAGAATTTGTGGCTTTATTTTGTCACCCTGTCGTTAAAAATCTAACACTTGCTTCCAGCACCCATGTGGGTTTCAGAGGAAATCCCGCCACCTAGTGGTTATTTAGAAAGGCTGCACGCTGAGAGCTGATTTGCAACAGTGTGCGGAGGGACGTACTGAACTGCAGAGGTGCTGCTGTTACAGAAACTGCTTGGTATGGCATGACATGGTATGTACCCTCTCTGTCAGAGTGCAGACAAAGTGAAAAAAGAGGGCCGGATTTGTGTTACAAAGATCTAAATGTGCCTCACAAGGAAAACCGTACACTTGAACCCAAGACTACCAGCGAGGCTGCAAAAAAAAAAAAAAAAAAGAGCAGTCGGGGGGCACCCTTTCACATTAGAACCCTGTCTAAATGTTTGGTGAGGCAATGTACACTGTTGGGGCAACTCATAAAAACTGACATTCAAAACCCATCTCGCGCATTGCGCGCAGTCCAGATCCGGTGACGTAAACGCTTAGGCCTCCCAAAAGGGAAGATATTTCCAGTCGGTGAAACCTGAAACACGGCCTCTGTTTCGCTGTTAGAAAAAGGAGGCAGCACGTCCTGTGAGAATACGGTGTCCTCTAACCTCAGGGTACATCTGAGACACCGGGGCCTTCATTGATGCCCCGCTCGGAGCCAGAAGGAAGATTTGCCTCCAGAAAAGTAAAATCAGACACAAATTGTTTTATGACACAAAATATTTTAATGAGAAAAACAATACAGCTTAGAAGGAGCCAAGGATAGTGACGGGGCCTGATGTGATAAACTGTTTTCTTTTACCTTGTGCTTAACAGAGGAGAGCAACGTGAAGTGGCAGCAGAGAACCAGGATTACAAGGGCATGGTTAGTTTTATTTTCCTCAGAGCACATACAAGAAAAGCCATTCAAGCCACAATACATCATTACAAAAAGCCATATTTTAAACCTAATGACAGAGAGCTGAACAGATTGTCACTTTAAAACACATACAGTACATTCTCCAGAGGATTAGCTTATGTCCTGTGTTGGGATTATCACAGCAATCCCAACTTTCAACAATCAACTTTAAAAAAAAAACAAAAAGAAAACATAATAATCAACAGCCTGAAAGCCTTTAGTATTACAGTCTTTAAATGTCCATAGGGAAATAAATTTAAGGAGAAAATAGAAAATGTGTTGGTTGAGCCTGAATTTGTGTTTGCTTTTTGCACCACCCCCTCCAGACCATGAGGCACATTGTGCTCAAGTACTGTGGTTCCAGAGCTGAAGCATGACTCTGTGTTTTTGATCTTCAGGAGTAAGAGAAAAAGAGTAAAAGGGAGCGTTGTGACGGAGTGAATCAACAATTTGTTTTGAAATAAGACGTTGACTGCAACCATCTCCCTCGCGCTTTCACTCCTCTCTGCCTTCCCTGTGTTGCTGGCTCTTGGCCGCGGCCCAGAGGAATTCTCTGGTGGCCTCGGTAAATATAACATTTACAATAACAACGCCAGAGTCCCTGTGTGTGGACTTAGCCCACTTCCTGGGTCCTTGCTGCGCTGCCTGCAGCTCTGACGGGTAAAATAACAGGCCTTCACGTCTGACCCAGAGTCCGAAGAGGGATAGGGGCTAATTTAGAGGCAGCCAGAGATCTGGAAGGTTTCTGTTAAGCCTGTTTCCTGCCCTCAGAGATGCCAGAGAGAGTGGTATGGCCCAAGCACAGAATGGGGCTAAATCGGGTCTTAAGGAGCCGTGCGGCGATGTTGGACTGGGTGGTGTGCTTGATAAGGAAACCAGGCTGCTCAGATAAAATATAGCTTTTGATTAGAGGGTGACTGCTGTGCTAATGTGGATCTCTTGGCTAAGCTGTCCAGCACAAACCGACAATCATCCAAAGTGCAAAATCTAAGACTTCTGTGGCTCAACACCAATATAAAAATAACTCGACATTAAATCTTTTCACGACAAAGCAATTATCCATTCACTTAAATCACAGAGAAGCGGTCACTGTGGACATTAACCAGTTTAGGCACGGTGATGTTTTATGATTTTTACATTTCAAACTTAACACCCTCCCCTGGCTGCACTTCACTGATAGCTGACCGAGAATGAATTACTTTTCATTGACTATTTATTAATAAGCTGAAGTTATACAGTGCTTTGCAGGAGTGTTCATACACCTTGAACTTTTTCACCTCACGTAGCAGCCACAAACTATATTGTATTAAAATAGGATTTTATGCAATACTTTAGCACAAGGAAGTGATTAATTGTGAAGTAAAACTTGAGATTCAAAGCTCAGGTGGAAAAAATCTAATATAAGGACAACTGTTAGTTGTGCACTCCATAAGTGTAGTCTATACTGAACGGTGGCTAATACCAGAAAAACGGTGCAGAAGCAAAGTCATAGGAAGTCGCTTTGGAAGTTTGTCCTAAGCCATGTTTAGCACACAAACATGTTAAAGAAGGTACTTCTACTAGATAAAACCAATGTGTAGTTTTTTTGCCCAAATTGCAAAATACAATGTATGGTAGAACACAAACACTCCACCTGATTCTGAAAACACTTTCAACATATGAAGCTTGGTAGAAGGAGAAATTGGGAGGCTTTTCTTCAGCAAGGCCAGGGAGGCAAATCATGACCATAGTTGAGGAGTAGACTGATATAGCTACATACAGAGCAATCCTGGAGAAAACCAGTTAAAGACTGAGGTGTAAGTTCGCCTTCTTGCAAAAATAATTCCCCTCGCCAAGCCACCCAGATCTAAAGTAAGAATCTATAGCAGGGCTTGAAAATTCCCAAAGACTAGTCAGGCAATCTGATTGAGCTCAAGCTATTTAGCGAACAATATGAAGAATATTCATTCTATAGCGGTGTAAAGATGGTCGAAACACACATCAAAACATTGTAATGGCCATCATTCAACCAGGCTAAATGATTGTGAATGAAACATTTTTGAGGTTCCAGTTTGGAAGAGAAACGATCCATTTCCCTCCTACTTCACATTTACACACTACCTTGTGTAGCTCCATCGCATACAATTTGAACAAATTAGATCAAAGTTTGTGATTGTAACATAACTAAAATGTGAAAAAGTTTAACGAGTGTGAATACTTTTGGAAGAGACGACACAAATGACTCCGAAATGTTTCTGAGACCGAGTTTCTGAAGCGCCGTTAGCAATCAAAGAGATTGATTTTTGCATGAAAATAAGACACATGTCAAGAGCTTACCCAATAATTGTGAGGTTGCAGGGTCCAAAAAAAAAAGAAGAAAAAATCGTGCTTTGTTCTAGTCGATGAGCTTAAACTCGATCAGTCTTAGCTTTTATGTATCTCTATGCAGATGAGCCATTGTTATTTTCTGAACCATCTATAACCTCTTAAGAGCGCACTTTTGCTTTTAAAAGATGTACAAGTTTGTCGGCTTTATGGGCATCATGCACGAAGATTCATATGTGCCAGAACTGGACAAAACCTGTACAATTTCTGTTCAATCAAGTATCTATGAGGGCATTATAAACATTCTGACTCTGAAACAGCAAAATGCTGTATATTACATATCTACACTTCAATATATGATTGGTGCAGTACTGTAAAGAGAACGACAGCACACTGTATACTTTGTCATCAATAGTATCTCAGTATTGCATATTGTAGCTATATTTATACATGGTCATATAAATATAGATAAGTTTATTTCTATGTACATTTTGATATTTCAACATTGCATAAAGAATAAAATAAATAATACAAATATAATCAAATCTTACAGTCAGTAATGATTTGAGAAATGCTATATTAGAGTCAAAAAAGAGCTAACAGTTGAAATAGTTATGGTAACAACTGTTATTCATAAAAAGAAAAAAGAAAAAGACAAACATTTAACAAAAAAAAAAAAAAAAAAAAAAACCTGTGGCCTAAAGTCTACACCACAATTACCCTGCAAGTTTACCATGTGGGACTGCTGGAATGACTGGAGAGGCGGAAGAGAAAAGGAAAGATTGGGACTCATTTCCTTTTGCTCAGTCTGTCTGGGAGTTTCTGCTTGTGTGGAGGCATGTTGTGTGCATGTGTGTCTTCCTGTGATGGCATGGATGTGTGCATAAGTCTGCAAATGTGGCTTTTTAAATGGTGCAAGAGGTACAAAGATCTCTTGAGGTTTCACCTTCGAATGTCGGCCTTGGGGTCTTCCTGCTCAGTCACAGCTGCCACTTCTGGACTGTGGCGGCGGGACCCCTGACTGCGATTGCGCGGGTGAGCGTTGAGGGCCGCCTTACCAGCTCTTTCCTTGTCGCCTTGGCGTGGCTGGCGCGGGTGCTCCGGCTCTAGATGGGGAGAAGTGAAGGGGTGGTGGTGGTGGTGTTCAACAACGGCGCTGGCAGGAGAAGGGACGAGGGAGGAGCAGAGGCTCAGGCTGTCGCACAGTGCACCCCAGTTCTGCTCACACTGTAGTCGGACGCTGCGAGTTAGTGCCTCCTTGACTTCCTCGCCACAGCTCAGGAGAATATTCACCAGCTCCACGTATGGGCTGGGCAGAGAGAGGCGGATTACTCACATGAATCCTGTGATTTAACATTTGGAAGTAAAATGGATCATGATCTTGCACATTAGGATGAAAAACTGTGATGAGGCTACTGAAATGACTTGAAATAACTTTCAATGGAAGACCAGGATTGCAAAGAGTGAGACAAGAGAGAAGAGGTAACACAGTGCAGCTGCTTACCCTTTAGGGAAAAGATCTTGGAAGTGGATCATCTCCACCATGACTGCCACATTCTCCTTTGCAGCAGAGCAGAGGTTGTGTTTGATGTAGCACTCTCTCTGGAGCTGGAACACCATCTCCTTAATGGTCACGCACTTTCTGCTGATGCAGCTGAACTTGTGGCGTAAACCATGGGCCATGCACTTTAGAGCATCCTTGATGAAGGATTTTCCCTGCATGCATAACAAAGACAAAGACACTGAAGTACCCTTGGATAAATGCGTCATCAGCTAGCAGAAAAAGAAGGATAAATGCCTCCATCTATGGGCTGGTGTAACCCAGCCAACATGGGCATGTGGTACTTGTGGATTTTGCTCAGACTGAGATTTTACTCAGTGTTCACAATGAGTTTCTCTGATGGACCTACTTGACTTTGTGAAAGACCATTTTTAATCAGAAAAGTATTTTGGTTACCATATGTAGATTTTTGCTGGATCTTAAATGGGTATTTAGAAATTAAGTTCAAATACTGCAACAAAAATTTACCCATATGGGTCCCAAAACTGGCCTCGAATGAAACCTTACTTTAGCCCTTGCATGTAAACGCTGTTTAACAAAACGTACAATATGATTTAACTTGTCTCCATTGGAATACACAAGAAATTGTTGTCTAAATTTCTGTACTTATAGTAATATCATCTACAAAATAAACCTTCTTTTTAAACTAGAAATTTTCCCGTGCAGCCAAATTGCTATTTGTTGTGAGAACAAAAAAAAAAAAAAAAGTGGCAGTCTTCTTTCAGCCAGCTGACTGGAAGTGTGCAGCAAACAGGTGCAGGAGCATGATGTGAAGAATGAACTCTGGAGTCAGTGGTTAAATGATCCGGTTTCGATTAAATTTATGTAACTGGCAATCGTAGATGTGTATTCCTAGTGTGTGACCTTGCAGACATATTAACACTGTAGTCAAGCCTCTGCTATGAATGAAAAGTAAGCTAACTGGGCCCCAGGCCAGCTGGCACAACTTGCCTTCCGATCAAAACCGAAGAGATTAAGTGTGAAGTGCATTTCAGATAGCACATTTGAAAAAAATAAAAACAAAAAAAGCCCCTCAAACATTTACTTTGCTGTTTTAGAGAATAACCGTGCAGCAAAATGTCTGCAAACAGACAGACTAGCTTAGTACCTGAGAGTCGAATTTGCCAGCGTTGTGCAGAAACGTCATGCAGATTTCCTGCAGCCCTCGTATCTCGCAGGAGTTATTCTCGAAGCACTCGAACACGCCGCAGCCAACATCCCCAGCGCTCACCAGGCAGTGCTGGATCTCAGCTGGAAAAAGAAGAACAGGTTAGGCCAGGGACCTTATCATGTGTTCACAGCAGAGATGACACATGCTGAAAGGGGTGATGGCTACAAAGACAGTACAGCTTCAAGGCACAACTTCACTTTGGGTTTAATCACAAGGCGTGTGAGGCGTATAACTATTTGCACAGACGAGGGCGGTCATTCGTGTCTTCATGACATGGAGCCTAAGAGGGGGGCGAAAGGATGCTGAGGGAAGATGGGCATCAGGAGGTGCGAAACACTTGGTGGGAGATATATATATATATATATATATATATATATATATATATATATAGTGTCATTCTGCACCACAGTCATCTGCACTGTCTGGCATTGAAATGGGATGGTGCATTGCAGATATTCCTTTTACAACAAATGCAGCCATACCAGTTTATGTCTTTCTCTCTGAGAAATGTGTATCTACAAGTACTTTAATTCTGCTTTTGAAGAGAGGAAAGTTGCATGTTGAAAAAGTCACAATAACACAGTTGGGGATGCACAAGCGGCAAGAGAAACTCACCGGCATTCAAATGCAAATGTTGCCAGAAATATACATTTGATCAAGACCTTAAAACTGTTGTGTTTCAGGATTACCCTAGTTGTGCCGATAACTGCAACCCAGACCTGCTGTGCTCTGAAAACGAGCTGCAATTCGTATAGACCCAAACGGGTTTATGACAATTGCCCCGTTGTCACTGTGGACAGTCCAGCTGGATATTTTACAATTACAGTGCAGCTCAGTGGCAGTTTTTGAAAGGAATCGAGGGAACGAGACAATCACTTGGGGTTTAAAAAAAATAAAAATAAAGTTATCAGTAAAGCACAAACAGGTCTCCAGTTGCTTTTTCTGCAATGCCAAGTCAATATCAATTGTATTGTTGAATTCATCATCATGAATCGGCCTGCAAAGCAACAAATGCAAATATTGGTGAGCAATAAACTCCTGAACTAGTCACATAGGGACCTCTGGAGTGCCTGGACTTCATTGACACACACAATAAAAAAAATAAAAAAAATACAGATATTGAAGCAGTTGTGTGCAAGTCAGCCCCACCCAGGTAGCAACTCATGGGCTTAAAGTACAAGTTCTACATTTGGTCAATTATAGGACCAATCTTTGTGAAAGAAGAGAGCTCCTAGTCTTTTTTTGCAACAGGACGTCCTCCTACTATATATATATATATATATATATATATATATATATATATATATATATATATATATGTGTGTGTGTGTGTGTGTGTGTGTCGCAATGCACAGAGCGGTCAACCCACGGAGTAAATTACACACGAGACTTTTTTCCAAAAACACCAAATTTGATTTAGTTTTGTTTGTTTGTTTGTTTGTTTTTTTTAATGCAAACAAATGAACAGGGAATCTGTCGCTCGCAGAGCGGCACGCACAACTGACACAGCTTCGGATGATGATGGTGATGATGCCGATGTGTCAGAGGAGACTGCGCACCGTTCGCGTCCTAATGGATTTTAATAGAAATCAAGCTTGTCAGTAAAGATTATCTGTTCCGGGTGACCAGTAGTATGGTGTGTGTGTGTGCGTGTGTGGGTGGGTGGGTGTGTATGTGTGTGTGCAGGGAGTTGAACTTTAGTGCGCAGGAAAAGTGAGCCGCTGTCAGCAATGCTTGTTTTGGCATCGCGAGAATGCGCTCGGATTGTACGAGCTCGGCCGCAAACGTGCGTTGAATTACAGCGCGGCGTCACCGGGGGTCTGTGCTGCCGCGAGACCCGCGCTGGGAGTTTGTCTCCCCCCCTACAACCTTTATCCCCCCCATTTGAGGAAGAGGAAACACAGCATTGATGTTCTGATACACACGATCAGCTTTGCTGAAGGACGCCCGAGGCGAAAGTACAGTTTGTTTGTTTTTTTTGGGGGGTTGTTTTTTTTCCCCGGGAGGATCAAGACTGAGGTCTCCCACCTGTATTTTATGGAGATTAGAGATAGGCTATATTAGTTTCTTTAGCTGCGATCCGCTTCAAGAGCGCTAAAATCTCTCATCAGTTTTTTTCTTTTCCCCAAAAGAAAAAGGTTTTCGTCTGACAACTGTTAGGACACCTTGGTTCCACGCGCGCGCGCGCTCGCACGTCCACCGGAGCGCGCCCTCACCTAGATGTGCAGCCGTATGGATTACCTATCACCTTGTGCCATTCTATTAATAGTTTACCAACGTATTGAATTTCCGTCTGGGAGTATTTACAAAATATCGCCTTTCATGGGAGTCCGGGAGCGTCGCTCGACGTGAAGCGACAGAATTTACGCCAAAAAAATTGCGGATCTCGGAGTTTGCCCCGCCGTGCCTCCCGGCGCGCTTTAATTTGCGGCTACAGAAACACGTGTCCCGGGCAAACCCCTCCACGCCACGCCACGCCACCACCACCACCACCCCGCCCTCCAAATCCCCCCTTCCCGTTTCTCTGCGGGTACCTCCCCGTCTTACCTGTGTTCTGCAGGGAGAGGCGTCCTTTCTGGCTGGCGGGCTTCTCCGGGGGCAGCTCGTGAAAATCAATATTATCCGATCCCACCGCTTGCTTCAGCACTGACAAAACCAGCAGCGCCACGGCCAGCTTGACCAGCATTGCGTCTCCGGCGGTGTGCCTCTGTTCCCCGGCAAAGATCCGACAGAGAGAGTGCGTGTCTCTGTCTCTGTGCGTGTATGCGTGTGTGTGTGTGTGTGTGTCTGCGAGGGTTCACCTTGGATCAGCGATCGGCGCAGCTGCGACTCGGTGTGTCATGGAGCAGCTGTGTGGGACTGAATGCATGAGCTGGAAGGGATGCTGCCTATATTTCTCCAGAGCCCCGGGTGTCAATTTGGATGAAGGAGTTAAGCAGGTGTTGTCGGTCGGGGCATCGCAGCCAATCGGAGTCGAAGAAATCCGCGTCCAAGGTTTTAGGGGAGTGTCCACTTTGAAAGTGTCCCTTTTTTTTGCCGTAAAACCGGCGTCTTGTGGCGACGCTGATGATCCGCAGTGATTAAAAAAAAAAACACACAAAAAAAAAACTAATTTGTCTGTCAGTGATGGGATATCGAGTTTACATTCGAGACTTTAAGAATCTCACACTGACAAAAGTTGGTTTGTTTAGGATGAAGGTGGTGGTGGTGGCAACATGTACCTGTAACGTTTCAGCTGTGCACTCTGCAGCCTGTTAAATCACTCATAAAACAACCACAAAGCTTTTACAGTGACTCCAGAGAAGCCAGTGCAAGTTCTGCGAAGACAAAAAACTCAGGAGGGAGAAATTATACTTTTACGACGCAATCTGGTCAAACAAATATAATTATTTTAAGACTTTGCAATAACAGTTAACTGAAAACAGAATGCTTATAATTAGAAGGCCCCCTTTTTTTTCCTTCTTCTTTTTCTTCTTCGCATTTTATGAGGAATTTCAAGATTTCTGTTGCACAAAGCCCTGTTTATTCTGTGACGACGGGGGTCTGCAAACCACTACAAGGAGTGACCCAAGAACAGAAGGCAAACATTGGGAGAAGTCAAAGATTTTTTTTATTTTTCTTCTTCTTCTTCTTCTTCTTTTTTTTTTTTTTTCTCATGAGCAACATTCAAAGGTGCCAGGGGCAAAAAGGGTAAACTTAATGACTCTGCAGGAGGAACGTTGTGTTTCCAGTGACTTGAAGGTACTTGTGCTTTTTGGGTGAAAGCCTCTCTATGTCTATAGGAGCCAGAGGTGCAATGCAAGCTGCCCTGGAATGCCCGTGTGTTGTTACACCATTCATCATGCCAAAGTTCTGACTGCCATGAGGGTGAAAGATGGGAGCCTGCACTAAGTTCTCCAGCCTCAAGGGGGCCCACTGATACTAATTGTTTAAAATCTTCTTTTTTTTCTTTCTTTCTTTCTTTCTTTTTTTTTTTTTTTTTTTTTTGCACAAGCACAACGTCACAATGGAGAAGTCAAGCTACTGTCCTGAGCAACCAGAGACACAGCAATGACAGGAAAAACACACACACACACGCACCCCCCCACCCCCAACCAAACACACACGCACACACACACACAGTGACTGTGCCTTGTAAAATCCTTTATACACCTTAATCTTTTGCATATCTTGTCACGTCACAAGCGCAAATGTAAGCTTTCAGTTTTTTTTATTTTTATTTCTTTTGCACTTGTATTAAGTCCCTCATTTGGAAACCACCAAATCAACCCAATGCATCAAACTTCCTTTGGAATATCCACCTAATTAGAAAACAGAGTCCATCTGTGCGTGATTTAATCTCGGCACAAACACAGATGTGGTCTGAAGGTTTGTTCAAGAAGATTGATGAACAAACAGCAGCATGGCCGGGGAGCACAGCAGAAAGGTCAGAGATAATGCCGTTAAGAAACCTAAGGTGGGTCCTGTGAATGTCTCACTGTCCCATCTGTTGTCTGAGACGTGGTTTCCACCGATGGCTCGAGCAATTAGAGCACTCTGGAGGAAGTCCAGAGATCTATAGCTCAGGCGGAAGAATGACTTATAAGGACAACTGCTACTGCACGAAACAAATCTGCCGTTTATAGAGGCTTGGCAAAAGTAAAGCCAATGTGGACAGAAAACTTTAAGGAGTCTCATTTGCAGTCATGTGGTAGTCACAGACATACGCCCTTGAGACTTGCAGCCTTAACTGCACTAAAACGTGTTTCTACAAAGTATGCAGATGCAAAACACACCTATTTCTGATTTCTATTTGTAAAGTAAAAGAAAAAAAAGTGGACCTTGCATAATTTTTTCTTCCATTTATCAAATAAAATTGTTCATTTGTGTCGGTCTATCACAAAAACCCAGTGAAACATCATCAAAGTTTGTGACTGTACAGCAACAAAATGTAAAACAGCAAAAACAAAGCGATGTGAAGACTTTTTCAAAGCGCTCCAGTACTTCAGGCAGCCTAGTTTTTCTTTATATCCACACTAAATGTCTTTTTGACTGTGGGCACACCTCAGGGAAAGCAACATTGACGTGACATGCAAACTCTCAAAACCTCAGCTGGTGGTTTACTGCTAAAACTCTCAGGTGTGAACCGCAGTTTAACCTCCATCACTCGGCAGCATAGTAACGAGTAGCAGGAACGTGGTTTGGAGTCTGAGTGGAACGCGCCGCTGCTCAGGCGCCCCATAAATGAACATGGGGAAACGATTGGTGGTTTAGTGTGTGACAAACAAAAAGGCCTCTGATTGACTGTGGCCTCTGATTTCATAGATCAGTGACTTTGAGATCTGTTTATGATAACATTTCATTTATTTTCATAAAATCTTTTTTCATGAGAAAATCTGGCACTGTTTGACGGAAAAAGCTTTTAAACCAAAGCTATATTTAGAGCGTTATTGAAATTAGCCTACAGCGGGAACTGGACTGCAGCTCCATCCTAACCAAAATGGTGATCACTCCAAGCTCTAAATATAGATAATTATTATCTTGGGGCTGCAATATCAGTCGTTTTAATTGAGATCAGTAGTCAGCAAAATGAGCCATGGCTCAGAAATGCAAAGAATTTTGATAAGGAGAGCAGCAAAAAATCCCCTCAGCATTCTGATATTCTTATTATGCTCTTATTATAGAAATGTTAGACTTCATTCCCTCTCTGCCATTTGGTTATCTTCTCCGTCTTTGTTTTTAAGTTTGTGATATTGCGTTGCATTTAAAATGCCCTTATTAGAGGCTTTCTATAACTCCCAGAAGAAAGAAACAAAGTTGTTCCAATCTTTGGTTAAAAGTTGGCATTATCTTAATCTGGGTATTCAGCCGTTTGGATTTCCATCACGCTCACACAGGGGGGTGTAGCACACCGTGACACACGTCTGGAGATGAGCTTAGTATTCAGTGGAGCCTTGACCACAAGCTGGAATCTCCAGTTCAATTGACGTCTGTTAGGCACAGCCCACGCTCTCCACACACCCTTGATTTGGCCCAATCGCCATGCTGCAGAGAACCACAGGCTTGTAATAGAGAGAGTGTGTGCGTGCGTGTGCGCGCGTGCGTTTCTGAGTGTCAGTGCTGCCCTGTGTTGTTGCATTCAGGTTGTGTGGGAAACAACTGCTGCAGACCTTCAACCCAAGTTTAACATCCAGAAGAGGTCTGATTGTAACGCTTGGGCTTTACTGTCCCTGCAGTAATTGTTGGGTCGTGCACGTCATTAAATACCTAGAAGCTATGCAATAAGTCTTTTGGTAATACAAAAAGCTGCTAGGCTGTGAAAAAGCTTCATCTATTGAAATGTCAAAGATGTTGATCATAGGGATTTAATATTATACTTGAGATATGGTACATATGTGCAGAATGCAGGAAATAAATCGGATCCAGATTTATTTTCCGCATTTGAATTTTCGAATAAATCTTGAAATCTGTTCACTCAGTTGTTACCGTTGAATCAAGTTCTGTTTTCCACTAACAATAAGTAAATTCTATTCCCCATTTTTCAAGCAATTCAACAAGATTTCTTTTCACAGCAATTCTTACCTTTGTCTGGAGACAATTCACTTGACTGTTCTCTAGGATTCAATGAAGTTTCTTCGTTTCGTTTTGTCAGGACTCTGGGTTGGTTTTGTGTTTCATTTTATTTAGTGTTATGTTTTAGTTCACTTTAATGGAGCCCTTTGTGGTCCTTTTGATATTATTATTTGAGCTATTTAGTGAAATTAGAATTGTCTTATTGCTTTCCTTATTTTCAATCCTTTATAGTGTTTCCAGTTAGGTTTAGTTACCTTAGGTTCTGTCCTTCTTTGTCTGAGTCCATGTCAAGCCTTCTTTAATGACAATAGTTTATTTCTATTTTATCCTTCTAGTTATTTCTTATTTCAGCCTCTCTGCAGGGATTCTAGTAATGTTTATTTCTTAATTTTATCACCTAAGGTTCAGTTATTCTTCCATATCCGAGTGTATGTACGTCTTCCTTTAGTAATTCTGGTTAGGTTATTTCTTAAGTCCTTTTAGCTCCCCCCGCAGGGTTACTAGTTCTTATTTTGTCACTTGGTTTAGTTAGTCTTTCTTTAGCAATTCTAGTGAGGTTATTTCTAGATCTTCAAGTTTCTCTAGCTCTATGTTCTGTAGTTTTTATTGTTGGTAGATCAGCCTTGTTTCCATTTAGGTTCAATTATGGTTTCCCTCATATCTTTCTCTCCCAGTTCATCAGATTTTCTTTACTCTTAGTGTCTTTTGTATAGGAAGTATTTTTCAGCTCCCCGTTTCCTCCCTTTTGTGTCCCCAGCAGATCTCCTTAGTTTCCCTGTGCCACCTTCTTGTCACCAGCTCCTGCACCAACTACTCACACCGGCAAACACTAATCTCATCAAGTTAGGCTATCGTTCCAACTACTACCTCCCAGTACTTAAGCTCCTCATTTTCATTTGCAACTCGCCAGTCTGTCTTGTTACCCTGCTTGTCGCTAAGCTCATCATTTCCGCCATGTTCCTCAGAATCTCTCCGTGTCTCAGTTGTGGATTTGCTTTGGTTTGTTCTTGTGTTTTCTTTGGATGTTCATTTTTTGTAAGTTGGACTCTGACTTTGTTAATTACATTTTCTAAACCGCACCACTAAACTGCTGCTTTTGGGTCCACCACGCCACCTCCCGACACTTTTATTAAAACCAAACAGTGAGGTCATCATCAGTCAATGACTTACCTCTAGGATGCAGTTTTCTGAGCAATCTCTGTTTGGAAAGTGCAAAGATATCAATCAACCAATCAAGTTATGGCTCAT